ATAGAAAACAGAGGTACTATGAGAGAAACAACCAAATCAAAAGTTGGTTCCCTGGGAAAATGAGAGAATGGCTAAATTGTAGTACACTCACACATTAGAATAATATACCACTGTGGGAAAAAAATGTACTATAGTGACTAGAAATTAGCCTGGAAAAAAGTCAGAGACTTAATGAGTAAAAAGAAAAAGTTATACAGTACAGGTAACACCATTTTTATAAACCTCAAGAATATGCAAAACTAAAATATATTGTTTAGGGTACACATACATTTGGAAAACTTTTTTTTAAAACCCGAGAACGATAAGCACAATAGGAACCATGGGGGAGGAAGGGCAAAGGGCTGGCATCCTGGGAGAGCACACAGGGGCTTCAAAATTATGGTAATGTTCTGGTCTACAAATTACATGGTGAGTTCACGTTTTTAAAATTGTTTCATACCTACAAGGATGATACATATGCTTTTTTTTTCCAAATATCAAAGGGTAAATAACAACTTTTTTTAAAAAATCGATTTTAGAGAGGAAGGTGGAGAGAAATATGAGCAGTTGCCTCCTATAGGGTTGCCTTCCATACACGCCCCCCACTGGGGATCACCCCGCAACTTAGCTTTGTGCCCTGATCAGGAATTGAAACCACAACCTTTTGGTGTACAGGATGATGTTCCAACCAGCTGAGCCACCCGGCCAGGGTAATAATAACTTCTTAAAACTGTAAGCAAATCCTGCTCAGTAAAATGTCTCAGACGAACTCCGTATTGTTTCCCCGTGTTCCCAGCTTGGACCCTGGAGCAGCTCCCCTTATCTCCAGAGGCTGTGGCTTCACGTTGAACCTGGCATTTCCTCATCCTTTTGCTTTTTCAGCTCCTGGATTTCACACATAGAAAGGCTCCGATTCAGCATATTCATAGATGCTTCAGCATCTTTTTTTTTTTAATTTTTAATTTTTGATTTTTAGAGAGAGGGAGAGAGGAGAGAAACATCATCTGGCTGTCTTCCTTACATACCCTGACTGGGGATTGAACCTGCAACCCAAGCATGTGCCCACAATCTGGAATCAAACTGGGGACCTTTCGCTTTGTGGGATAATACCCAACCAACTGAGCCACACTGGCCGGGGCATGCATCTTTATGATTAATTTCTTTGGGAAGCCATGTTGAGAAAAAAGGGAGAAGAAAGGAAATAGAAGCCAAGGGGGTCTTCTTTCAATTAAAAAAAAAAAAAACAACTCCAGAGATAATGAAATGTTCTTCTGAAACCCCGTTATGGCTCCAGTCTATAAATCTACTTTCACGACTGACTGTGCCTCCCCAGAAGAACCAGAAGAATGAATGCGGTCGATAAGCCCAAGCAGTGAACTATAGTGGACATCTGTCACCTAGGGCCTGTCCTGAATCTAGGTCCCTTTTCTAACAGCTCTTTGATTACCTTTTAGGAATTACATCTCTCCAATTGAGCACAGTTTTAGTGAGCAGGAAGATCTAACTTTCACCATGGTATCTGGGGTTGGACAGAGCCTTCCAGTTCTGAACCAACACAACTGGGAGCCAAGGCAGATGGGCCTGCAACCTGAGCTGGGCCAGCTGAGGAAGTTTTCCCTGCCTGCTAACTTCTGAGTGAAGATGGTTCTTTGCAGCCATAGTGAGTCCTTTTCAGTAGTCTGCAAATCTCCTCTGGATCCTACCCACTGATTCTGCGACCCTGATCTTCCAGTTTCCTGTTGATTTTCTAGGCCCCTAATATCTTTCCAAAACATACTTTTCTCCTAAATTGGCCATTTCATTCATTTTCTTAAAATATGAGAAAAATGGATGTTCATAGCAGGTGAATAATACAGTAACAGAAATTCAATACACTAAAAGTTGAAAGTTCTCTCCCTAGGAATATCTTTGGTACCAGTTTGATACATATCCTTACAAACTTTTTTCTAGCACTGTATACATAGAGAAAGAAATGGGCTGGATCTCTAGATAATATGGGGTTATAGGGGATGGAAGGGATTTTTACATAAAAGGGGTCATAACAAATATACTCTTATATAAATTATTTTTAACCCAATGATATAGTATAAACATCTTTCCTTGTCAGTACATAGAGATCTGTCATTCCTTTTAATAGCTGCATAGTATTCCATGGTATGAGCTCCACAATTTAATCTTCCCTTGTCAGATATCAACATTGTCTCCAACGTTTTAGTATTACAAATAATGATGCAAGGAGGGCAGGGAGAGGAAGAAGAGGCTTATGGGGGGAATGAATGGTGATGGAAAGAGACTTGAGGTGGTGAACACACAATATAATATACAGACGATGTACTATAAAATTACACGCCTGAAAACTATTCAATTTTATTAACCAATATCACCCCAATAAATTCAATAAAAATACATTTAACTTTGCAAATAATTTAACTAGCTGCTTTCTTTACTACTGTAAAATGAAGTGGTTAATAAATCCTTAGGATAGGATTTCAAAAATAAATTTATCCAAGCTTTTAGTAGAAAATGAAAAAAGTAATGATGTAATGAACATTCTTATACTTACATGGCTTTGCACACCTGTGTAAATATTTCTGTAGGTAGGGGATTGGCTAGAAATCATTTCTGGAACAAAGGATATATACATCTAAGATGTTTATATTGAGGTACTGCCAGATTGCCCTTTCATGGCTGTATCCACTTCCCAAAAACATAGGGAAGATGTGCTCATCACCCACACTTATAGAGGTTTTTAATATTTATCTTCAGGAATTTGATAGATGGAAGTATCTTTTTGGCTTTCACATGCATTCCCCCTGATTACTAGAGAGGATAAATATATTTTTCAAATATGTTAGCCAATTTATTAAACATTTTTTGTTGGTTTCTGCATATATTATAAATATGAATCTTTTCTCAGTTATATATTGTAATTATTCCCACCAAATTAGTGATCTGTCTTAAATTTTGCTTTTGGTGTCTTTGGATTCATATTTGTTCTTTATAATTTTTTTTTAAATTTTTTAAAACATTTTTTAAGATTATATGTTTATTTATAGACAGAGAAGGGAGGGAGAAAAACATCAATATGTGGCTGCCTCTTGCACGCCCCTTACTAGGGACCTGGCCTGCAACCCAGGCATGTGCCCCGATTGGGAATCAAATCTGTGACCTTTTGGTTTACAGGCTAGTGCTCAATCCACTGAGCCACACCAGCCAGGGCTGTTCTTTATAATTTCTACTTTTCTTTATGGTTTCTGGGTTCCTAATCACACCCCAAAAAGTTCTCCCTTCCCCCAAGCTACAAATGAACATACTTACATGCATTTTCCCCTGCAGTGGAACAGCACAGCACAGTGGTTAGTTGTAGAACTGGAGGTTCTGGAGCTAGACTTCTTAGGTTCAAATGCCAGCTTGGGCATCTATCAGTTGCATGACCTTGGTACTTAACTTTCTCATTGGTAAAATGGGGTTCTGGTGAAGGTTAAGTTAATATATGTAAAGCATTTAGAATATTGCCTAGTACATAAGAAATACTCAATGTGTATGCCATTATCTAGTTTCTTTATAGTTTTTTTATTTTGATCTTTAGTATACTGTTTAATTTTTTTTCAATGTGTATGCCATTATCTAGTTTCTTTATAGTTTTTTATATTTTGATCTTTAGTATACTAAAGTATACTAAAAGTATTCACCTTTTTCCTGAGGTGAATAGCCAGTTTTCTAAAATAGTCTATTTTTCCACTGATTTGAAATGCCACCTTTAGAATATACTAAGGAACAGGTTGTCTCTAGGAGGGCTTTGGGAGACCTAACCTAGTTCATGGCCACCCATAACTGTACTTCAAAGGCCACTCAATGAACACTTCATGGAAAACCTTGGCATCCTACTAAAGGTAAAAATATCTAAGTTAAATTTAACAACGTTCAGAAACTTGGTGGCCTCTTTACTCTGAACCCCACCCAATCACAGGACCAGGAAGGTCACCCCAGTTGCCCTGCTCGAGGGACGAGCCTGCGGAGGGATGTGTTCTTGGAAAAGCATACCCAATCTACAAATATATATACTACAAGCTATTTTCTCCAAAGCAATAATAGTTAAAGAAGAAGTTTAAAAAACTCATATTGAAATGTGTACTAGAATACATGGTATGTGCACGTAAGATGGCATCTACCGGGCCGTGAAGGGTGGCTGGAATTAGTGGAGAGTTTCACAAGAGTAAGAGGCTCATCTGCGTTAAATGACTTTTGTGCAGGAGTAGGCAGAGAACCACTGAGATTCAACGTTGGTCTCTCCTTTGCCTCAACCCAAAACACAGCAGCTGTTTAAGGTATGCTGCCATCTTCTGGCCAAACTTGTATTGCAGCCAACTCACAGTTACAGCAATAAGTGATGCAGCCTTGCAAGCATGGTATGGCAACCCAAAACATAACAAAACAAACACACCCTAGCGAAAAGGCAGCATGTTGCCTGCTGACATTTCCTGGTCACTACAGATAGTGCCACTCTGCTGGTAGTGGCCTCTGATGGTGCCTGTTGGGCACTGCATAACAAGCAAATCTCAAGGTGGGATGAGCCTAAATAGAAGATTCAAATATTCTAAACACAAATAAGTCAGTATATAGATTCCATCTCTAGATCTTTTCACAGTGTAATAAAGAATAGCTAGGCTCACGCATCAGCTCAGAATGCTGCAAGCTCGTGGTGAAAAGAAGCTGGAGAAGAGTGTGTAAACCCAGAAAGGGCTCTGAAAAATAAATTGCTGTCACCACACCTTGCCCCCCTCTTCTTCACTGGCCCATCTTCCCTTCCCTTGCCCTCTTTCTGATAGTGTTAATGTCACCTGGAAACCAAGAGCAATCTATGGTGGAGTGGTATATACCATCTGTCTCTAAGGCAAACTGAAAGACATCTGACTGCAGAGGTCCCAGTAGGAATGGAATAGAGTAAAGAATGTCCTGTTAACACAGGGGAAACACAAGCCAAAACACACGTAAACCTAAAATGTTAATGTGATCTTTATTATACAGCACATCGGGTATTTGTGCATCCCAACAATGATACAGAATATTCTATAAAACCAGACCCAACCTTTCAAAATTACACTAAATGAAGGCTTATCCCTTAATTACGTCTCTTAAAAATACACACAATTAACAGGGTCCTGCTGTAACAATGTGGAAATGTAACAATGAGGAAAGAGACATGAAAGGAGAGTGTAAGGACTGAAGTTTGTGCCAAAGTAATTTCTCTTGTTATTGCACTTTTATTCTACACCCTTAGTATGTTACATTTTTACTTAACACTGTAATAAACATTAGTGCTTTAAAACAAACAAAAATATTACATAAAGACACAAGACAACAAGCTGTCCAGACCAATTTTCCTTCCAACCCTCTGGGGATGAAGGCCCACCCAGTCCCAGGTGTTCACATAGTCTCTGCGATCATCTCAATTGGACTGGATGTTAACAAAGCAGATGAAGTTAAAAATAAAACCCATGTAAGAACAGTAGTGCTATATCTGAAACCCCCAAGGGAGTTTGCAATACAAGTTTTTCAAGGTTACTCCCTCCTTACCTATTAACATCCACACTAGCCCTAACCCACCCCACCTCCACATTAGAAAGATAAACCCTTTTTTTTTTCTTTTAAAGAGAAAGTGGGTTATTTGATCCAGCAAATCCCAAAATCAAGCTTTGAAATCTCAAAGAGAAAAACTCCCCTTTTGGCAATGGACTCTCGGAGGGCCGTTCAGCCTGCTCTGACGCACGGTGGAGTGTGGAGGTCCCTGTTTAGCCAGATGGAACACCCAGCAAGGCCAGAGGGAGTCTCTATTCCCCCAAGTGCTACTATAACCACCAATCCCCCTTGGCTTGTCAGTGCTGAATTAAAACAAAAATAAAGTGTCGTTCAGTGCAGTTATCATGTTGCAGCCTAAACCACTTCTCCCATAACAATAACAACAAAAAAAACTCTGAGTGTTCTACTATTCCCCTATTTCTATCTGTGGTAGTAATGTATCCTTTCCTTCACTGTTTCCTCGACTTTTAGTGTTAAAAATTAGGAGAAGCTGCTGCCTAGGCTCGGTCCCCCTGAAACTGATGGAGTCAAAAGTGACTCTCTTTGGTCTGGGAAGAACCAGCACAGTCCTCCTTTCCAGAGAAGTGAAAGGCTTGCTCAACCCATGAGCTACTCTCTGCAAGAGGATCAAGGGAACAAGGGCATGCCTGTGGAAACCTTACCCAAACGAGCATCCCTCCGCCCGTGACTGACCCTAGGCACAGGGTCAGCTGCTCTTGGCTCCAGACTCCACCATCTTCCGACTGCACTGCAGGAAGGTCCCCCACTCAGTTCTGAAGCAACATAAGTGATCAGGCTTCAAGTGCATTAAAAGTAGCCAGGTGATCATTTGGGGGCTGGGGTAAATTGCCCTAATTAAGTTGACCAGAAGGATAGAGCACAGGGTATTTCTTTCATCCCATCCTTCTTCCTCCCCCAGCCACGATCTCACCTCAACGCTAGGGAGCACATACAGCCAAAGCAAGGAGGTAAAATCTTTAGACTTTGGTCTTGCTGAGCCCTTGATAGTCCAAGTGCCACCAAACTTCTTTAATAACCTAGTATCTTCCCAAGTGATACACAATACAGTACATTTCATGGCATTCCATCACTTTAATAATAATGGTTGCCAAAGGAACAAAGAATCCAAAATTTGCTGACAATGTTGTAAAACAAAAGCAAAGTATACACGTGATATATATTCCTGCACTCAGCCTGCTGAGTGTTTAAATAACACCTCCAAATGTCTACATGTGGGCTTTGGCTGGCCTGCAGACTTTCAGGAATATTCTCCACCTTTTCTCAGAATCTTTTTTTTTTTTTAAATGAACTATAACACAACTACTCATCCACGAGCCCCTCCCTTCTCAGGCAAAAAATGTGGGAATCTCCTAGAAAACTGATGTCTGAGAGCAGACTAAGTCACAGGTGATAAACCAAAAAGGGACTCCGGGTGGAGAAAAACCTAACCTTCCATGTGTGAATGGGAGTGTGAGCTAAGACTCCCCAAAAATGTTAGGAATGTGGTCTCTATAGTGGGAGCACTGACTCCTGATTATAGCCAGAGGTACCGAGACAGTCTGGGAAAGGGAACTATATAAAAGCTTTCTTGAAATTTCATACGGAACAAGACTTGCACTGGTTTTTTGTCAAGTAGAGACTACTCACTTCTACTTTTTTAACGTGAAACATGGCTTCCTAGAAGGCCCATCATAGTCCCCAGAAGGGCGACAAGTTCATGCCGATCAGAATAGCGTGTCTTGATGTAAAGCTAAGTGTTAAAAATTCTAAGAGATAAACTGAACATTCCACCAAAACAAGGCTGGAGCCCACAGAACCCAAAGACACTGGGTCAGTAAACTTATCTATTGCAAGTAGGAAGTTTTTTAGCATTATATGACGTTTCTGAAGAGCTACAAGTCCTCAGGGGGCTACTACGCTTGTATAGATCAGGATCAGAGCCAAGGATAGCCAAGTTAAAAATTGAACTTTAAAAGTTATATGGAAAATTGTTTTGTAGACTCCATTTACACCCTGTTAATATTTAAGAGATGGTCATTCTATCACTAATACCCTAGAAAATTCTAGCAGCAAATCTGACCATTATCTCATACACCTAGAGACTCTGGGACCTGTTTCCCTGTTCGGGACGAGGCGCAGGGGGCAGACAACAGGGCTTGGGTGTTAGGCAGATGGAGGAAGCCACTTGCCTCCACTGTCCATTCTTTCACCTACATGTTTTTCTAAATCTAATGGAGCATTTTGGCTGAGGGAGGCTTACAGTCAAGATCTGAGGTGCACCAGTGTTTAAATTGTTCCCCTTCCTTTGACTGGCATAGGAATTTACCTTCTTATATACACTTCATGACAAACTCTCCAAAAGACCACCCCCCCGCCTTCCAATCCAAGAGAGAGGACTCTTCCCAGACACTACCACACAGGGATGAGGTGCACACAGAGAACTACAAAGAGTGTTCTTCTCTTTCATCTGGTTCTTCTACCATTGTATTTAAAATAAGGTAAAAAGAAGGGACGAGTGGCAAAAAAAGCTTAGTTAAAAAGCTCACTGGTCAAGTTTAAAACACCAGTGTGTTAGATTCAAACACAAAAGAAGAGTTCCTGATTTTTATTTAAGTTTTAAAAAAGAAACTAGTATGCTTCTAGTGGGTTTGTATGGAGGCCCATGGCCTTCAGATCATTGTCCACTTCTCGGTCTCACCAAATACTTCACACTGCTCAGCTGTACTCAGACACTCACCCCTAACGACCATGTTAACTGGAGCTTCCCCATTTTGAGGCCAAATAGAGAAAAAAAGAAAACAAAGACACAGGGGTAGAAGAAAAAAGTCTGTTCTACGTGTAGCAGTAACTCAAAATCCAACGGCACACACACACACACACACATGCACACACGGTTTTCTTTTTGCGGCCTCTTGGTGATGAATTGTGAAACTCTCCCTCAGAAGCCAGGGCTATGTGGTCCTATAAATGTAAACACACTGGTACTGTAAGAACAGATAGCTTTGTTTCTAGCTTCATCACTGGGGCCTCTGGCTATATTGCAACCTGAGATCTCTGGGTGCAGAAAACAGGAGAGAGTTATCCTCAAGCTATTTTTTTGCTCCTATGTTTTCACAATTCCAGAACTAAGCATATATTTTCTAAGAGTTCTGACAACTGGATAGAACCAAACTATTCCTAGCTAGAGCTGAAACTATGAAAATTATAGTTTTTAATACTATTGCCACGGCAGTGTCCCCTTGTCTTAGAAACGTACAATGAACAGACATTGGTAACATTTACCCCCTTTTCAGTTTTGAGGCCAGAACATGGCCTTCTTCATCCTTTTACCCATGTCCGAGGCAATCCTTTGCTAAAGAAACAGCTTGAGGCATCAGTGAACTGCTGAATATGATCAGCCATCCAACGGCACCACCCAGGAGACGCCTCTGCCTGGGGAGGTCTCCAGCTGCCCAGCAAGCATCGATTCTCCTGGGAGCTCTCAGTAATGAACAACTGTCAACTTCTTCCCATGGCCAAAAGATGAGGGGAAGGAAAGAAATGGAGAGTGAAAGAGAAAGGTCTTTGCTTTCAAGTAGAATCGTCTAGTCCTCTGTTTGGCTGCTCAGAATTTGACTTGCATAGCCTGTCCATGATGCCCTGGAGCATGGGCTGGACAATGCCCAAGAGAGGTCTCTGAGAAGGGTCACCGTCCCAGCAGGCTTCCATCAGCTGCCAGCACTCCTCATCAAACACAGGAAGGCGTTCTGGGCGGGCCCCTAGAGAGAGCAGCGTGGAGATAAGGCCAGAGTCAGGGAGAGAGCGACCAGTACGGCCAACAGGCATGCTTAGCTCTTGGGCTAATGACCCTGCTGGGGCTCGGGATGCTGAAGAATACAATAAGCATGGGCTTCAACCGCAAAAAATCTAGATTAGAATCTAATAGTAACAGTGATGATAAACTGCAACACACTTGAAGAATTGGAAATTTTAAAGAAAAAAGCTTTACTGAGGCAGCTCAGTACAATGCTGCTTGGAATCGAAGGCCTGATGGGAGGCCCCTGCTGCAGTCCCTGGTCTCGGCCTGCCCTCAGCCGGGGAGTTGGGACAAAGCGGGGTCTGTGGCTCCTACCTCTCCGCACATTGTTCCAGAGGTGATCTTTGCTGGCACATCTCTCAAATGCCTCAGGGAGCTTGACAGAACCTGAGCAGATATACCAGAAAAGAATGCCAAAAGCGTAGACATCCACGGAGTTATCGTACTTCCCTACAACAAGAAGGGGTGACATTCAGTGAGCAAGGGGCAGAAATCAACGGCATCGCCACGAACGTGCGTCTGCAGAGGTCTTTACGTGTTCTTTCTAAAGCTTGCAACATCCATTATCTCTCATTACAACTTGATTAGGCAGGACACATTCATAATGCCCATTTTATAATAAAAAGAACTATGGCATCCAAGGCCAAACCTACTATTAAGAGAGCCAAGACTAGAACCCGACAAAGGAGAAGGAAAACAGCCCTCTTATTTTAAAGGATCAAAAAGATTAACAGTGAAAGGTCCTTATTAGGAAAATAACAGGTAGGAAACACAGGTGGGTGGGCAAGTTGAAACCAGAATATAAAGATTTTTAAAGTCAGACAAAAGAGTCAAAATTGAGTGGACAACAGAAGTTATTTATGTTTTAGAGCAGGAGTGACATGGAGAAAAATATTTTAGAAAGGTTATTCTGACAGCATTAAAATGAACTGCAGTAGAAACAATCGAAGCAATTTAAATATGAAGTAGCAAAAAAAAAATAATAATAGTAGTAGGGGGAGTAGAAGTTTAATTTAACAAAAGTAAATCTAGAGAAAGAAAAGTGATGACTGTGTACTTTGTTCCAGTGTGTGTGGGGCAGCTCTCTGGCTAACTCCTAATTCTTACATGGATCACACACAGAGGGGTTGGGGGAGGACTTGTGCATGAGGCTAATGAGAGAAATTCAAATATATTGCTAATTTAACTCTTACCAATACTAACGAGTAACCTGTGATTACCTTTCCATCTTCCCCATCAACCAGACAACCTCTCCTCACATCTACTCAGGCTCAAAACCTTGCAGCCACTGTTCAGTAATCCTTTCATCATTCCTATCAACTTAAAAAAAATTACCCATTCTTCTTCTGAATTATCTCAAATCTGTCACTGTTTTGTTTGTTTAGCACCACCACCAACCTAATCATGAAGACAGCCACCATTTCTCTACCTTGGTTCTTGCCACTCAAGTTCCCTCTACCTAATCTTCCATAAGCATTCTCTATTCCTTATCTGCTCAAAAGCACGATAACACCTTACTTCTTCTACATTAAGCTTTCACTCCTCTGTGTGAATTTCAAGCACACTGCATTTTATTCCCCATATGGATTTCTTTCCTATCACGCTTATTTCTATTCTCCAATTTTCCTCATATTTCCCATTCTCCAGCTTCCAGAATTTTCATTCTTTCATGATACATGGTTAGACACTAGAGACTAAAACACCAACATTCCATGCCTAGCTCTATGACTTCTAGCTCAGTGTTCTGGGGTGGGCTTCTTCAGTAATCTGGCCTTGACTTCTTCATTCATGATAGAAATGTAAAAATGAATCAATATCACCACAGAATTCTGATGAGGGTTAAATGGAATAAAATATATGGAAAAAAAATACTGCCTAGCTCAAAGAATATACTTAATAAATAAGAATTCCCTTCCCACTTACTAATTTTTCCAGGTTGGACTCAAGTTCTACCTAAAATCTTACCTTTACCACAAAACCATCAAACATTTCAACTTCTTCATTTATCCCTTCTCTGAATATCAATGTTGCATTTTGTAGCATTTAATTTACCACTTTATCACATGTTGTCTTGTACCATCCTCCTAATTATTTTACCTCTATTAATATATCTTTGTCATTTGTAAGTTCTTAAATGATAGGGGACAACTCCTAATATAGTATAGGAGTTATTTGATCAATACCTTATGATTAAATAATTGGTTGCTTATGACTATTAAGGCCCAGAGCGATATCTAAAAGAATAGTTGGTGGCTCCCATTTGCACTTTTCTTTCTGACCCCTTTACGTCTACGTTTCCCCCTACTTGTCTTAGTTTCTCCCTGTACTGTTTTTTCCCTTGTCTGTGCTGGATCAGCCAGCACTACTTGTGGACACTACTCTTAGCTCAAGGGGTAGAGCTCAGTGTTACAGTATAGAGCCCCGCCCAAACCCACTCCCTACCCTCGAGCTTACCTGTGAAAAGTTCGGGGGCCATATGGATGGGTGTCCCCACAATGCTGCCAGACATCATGGCCTCCGGCTTGCAGAATCCTAAGTCAGTGATCTTGGCTCGGTTCTGCTTGTCCAGCTGCCAACAAAGCAGGGTAAGAGTCGCCGTGCATCTGAGTCTGCACACAGCACTCAGCTCCGCTGCATCCCCAAGCTCACAAGCAGGTGTCTACCCCACAGCGGTACTTAATCCTGCCTCCAGCCTCTCTGTCTCCAACTTCATTCCTGTGAGCAACCTGACGGCAGGACTGCCGTTTCCATCTTTGGCTTCCCAGCACTGGGCACAATGCCTGGCACTATCAGGAGCTTAACAGAACTTGGAAGAATGAGTAAGTGAAGAGCACTGAGGAAAGCATTTCAGTTCCCAATCACTCTCCTCTGGCCTCCAGACCTCAGGACAGAAAAGTGCTAAGGAAGAAGATTGAGGTCCTCTGGTCGGCTAAAGAGAGTTTCTGAAATTCCCTGTAGTTTCCTTCCCTAAAGGTCCAAGAGAATAAATCTGTGTGTCATTTGATAATTGATAAGCCTCTCAGGTTTCAGCCTATTAATTTCAGGAAGATCTTTCCTTTCCTCCAATTTGCTGTAGCTTTATACATCACTTAAGCGATGCCAGAGACAACTCAGTAATAATATATTTTCAAGAGCAGTATGTCAAAAGATTCTTTATAATTTACATTAACAGACCTGGTAGGTTCAAGACCTTTCAATGTGCATTTACCCATCTCAGTCTTCATCCAGGATTTCTGATCAAACCTTAAGCAATAACAAGACCTGGAATCTTTAAAAATATCAATGTCACAAAAGCAAAAAAGGCAGAAGAACTATTCTAGATTAAAGGAAGCTAAAGAAACATGACGACAAAACACACTGCATGATCCTTGGATTGGATTTGGGATCAAACAAATAGACCACATTTGGCAAAATTGGACATATTTGGGACAATTAGAAAATGTTAATACAGACAGGATATTAACTGACAGGATTGTATCAGTGTTAAATTTCTTGGGTGTGGTAGTGGCATTTTAATTACATAGAAGATGTTCCTTTTTTTAGTCGACACGAGCTGAAGTACAGGCACACCTCAGAAATACTGCACGTACAGTCTCAGAACACTGCTATAAAGCCGACAAAGTGAATCACATGAATTTTTTCATTTCCTAGTGCACATAAAAGTTATTTTATACTATACTGTGGTCTATTAAGTGTGCAATAGTATTATATCTTTAAAAAAACCCCAAAACACACGGTTCATACGTTAATTAAAAAATACTTTATTGCTAAAAAACGTTAACCCTTGGGATGGGAGCTCCAGCTATGGAGCGAGGGCAGCGGCAGCGAAGATGGGCCAGGCGGGGACCATGGCAGTGGCAGCAGAGGCAGCAGGGGCAGGGCGGCCGCTGGTAGAGAGAAGGCTGTAGTCTCCAGGGGGCTGTAGGTGGAGGCATGGCGTGGGCCAGCAGCAGGAACGGCAGCAAGAAAGCCTGGGCAGCACTAAAGGTGTCACAACAGCAGCTTTGAGAACTTTGCCCAGGTGAACAACCAGCCCCACCTCTGTCACAGTGCTCACTGCTTCAGCGAGGCCGGCTGCTACAGCTACTGCTCTGAGCCCTGGTGGTCCTGGCTGCTCTGGACTGTTACCCTCTTCAGCTGCTGCTGTGTCTTCCGTCATCGATGAGCTTAACTCCAGGTGCGGCAGCGTGAAATCGACTTGTTGGCCTACCACGGGGCACGCCACGGGCTGGCCCTCTTCCTACCAGCTCACTGCTCAACAATGACTTCCTCGGCGCCTTCAACCCCCAGCCTATGAGGATGCGGTTCGCCACCCAGGCACACCCCCACCTCCTTACACTGCTGCCCCGTGACTGCTTCCAGGGCATGTATCTGCTGCTCCTCCACTTCAGGCTGCCCTGCCCACTATGAAGGTGTTTCCTCCCATCAGAGTGCCCCCCACTCATCAGGTGGGTGAGCCCTACCTCCACATTCCCCTCCTGTGGCTACTGCCGCCTGACTGGTGACTTAGGTGTCAAGCTTTGCCCTTGTCCTGACTCAGGCGAGAGCAAGCCAGTCAAGGAGGTGAGGGCTAGTGCCATCTGGCCAGATCTGGGGGACCACTCCCCTTGTACACTGCCACTAGATCCCATACCCCAAGTTTCTTCTGTGGGGCTAGTTCCCAGTGAAGGAGATATCCCATAAGCACTTCTGGGAGGGTAGATGAGTCACTTGCCCACTAGAAATAGCTCTGGCTCCAACTCCTTGAGTTTGGCCTGTCCCCGCCCTCCTAGAATCTGCACGAAAGTGCTGGAGTCCTGAGGAGAGGGGCCATGTTTGGGCAACTGTGCTAGCTCTACCCACAATGACATACACAGGAGCCTTTGAGCTCATTAAAGAGATGTAAACCAAAAGAAAATGCTAACCGTCATCTGAGCCTTCAGTAAGTTGTAATCTTTTTTTCTGGTGGAGGGTCTTGCCTCTGACGTTGACAAATGCTGACTGATCAAGGTGGTGGTTGCTGAAGGCTGGGTGGCTGTAGTAAATTTCTTAAAGTAAGACAAGAATGAAGTTTGCAGCATCCATTCCCTCTTCTTCTTCTTCTTCTTTTAATTGATTTTAGAGAGAGAGATGCAGGAAGAGTGAGAGAGAAACATCAATTTGTTGTTCCACTTATTTAGGCATTCATTGGCCGATTCTTGTATATACTCTGACCAGGGATTGAACCTGCAACCTTGGCTTATGGGGATGACACTTTAACCAACTGAGCTTCCTGGCCAGGGCTTCATTTGACTCTTCTTTTCTGTAGCATGTGATGCTGTTTGATAACATTTTATCCACAGAACTGTTTTCAAAACTGAAGTCAACCCTTTCAAACCTTGTTGCTGCTTTAACAACTAAGTTATGTCATATTCTGATTCCTTTGTTGTCATTTCAACAATCCACTTTCTTTGCTCATCCATAAGAAGAACTCCTCACCCATTAAAGCTTTATCATGAGATTGTAGCAAGTCAGTCACATCTTTAGGCTCCACTTCTAACTCTCCCACTGAAATTTTGAACCCCTCGAAGTCATCCATGAGAGTTGGAATCTTCTTCAAAACTTCTGTTGATATTTTGACCTCTTCCCACGAACCACAAGTGTTCCAAATGGCATAATAGAGTATCCTTTCCAGAAAGTTTTCAATTTACTTTGCCCAGATCCATCAGAAGAATCACTATCGTTGGCAGCAACAGCCCTACAAAATGTATTTCTTAAATAGTAAGACTTGAAATTAAAAATTCCTCCTTGTTCCATGGACTGCAGAATGGATGTTGTGCTAGCAGGCATGAAAACAACATTTATCTCGTTGTACATCTCTACCAGAGCTCTTGGGTGACCAGGAACATTGTCAACACTCTTGATTAGGCTTTGACTTAAGGAATGTTGCGGCTGGTTGGCTCTTCTATCCAGACCACTAAAACATTCTCTACATCAGCAATAAGGCTGATTTGTTTTCTTATCATTTGTGCGTTCACTGGAGTAACACTTTTAATTTCCTTCAAGAACTTCCTTTTCATTCACAACTTGGCTAACTGGCGTTAAGAGGTCAGGGAGCTGCAGAAGAAATGTCTGACGTGCCTTCCTCACTGAGCTTAATCTTTTCTACCTTTTGATTTATAGTGAGAGACTTAAGACTCTTCCTTTCTCACTCTAACCCTTTGAGGTCACTGTGAAGTTATTAACTGGCCTCATTTCAAGACTGTTGTGTCTCAGGGAATCAGTGGAGCAGTCAAAATAACATGCAGCATTTATCTTAAGTTTGCCGTCTTATATGGGCGTAGTTTGTGGTGCCCCACGATGATTTCAATAGGAACATCGAAGGTCACTGAACACAGATCACCATAACAAATACAACAATAATGAAAAAGTTTGAAAGCAAGAATGACCACAATGTGACAGAGAAATGAAATGAGCAAATGCTGTTGGAAATAAGGCACCAGCAGGTTTGTTCAAGGCAGGGTTGCCACAAACCTTCAGTTTGTAAAAAACACAGTATCTGTGAAGCACATTAAGCAAAGCACAATAAAATAAGGTATGCCTACATTTAGGAATGATGTGCTATCTGCAATTCACTTTTATACAGTTCAGTAAAACTGTGCGTGTGCGTGTGTGTGCACAGAGAGAGAGACAGACCACACGAGGAAAAACTGAGACTGTGAATCTGGGTGAACAATACATGGGCTTTCACAGTACTGCTCTTTAACTTTTCTGTAAGTTTAACTTTTTTAAAACAGCGTTGGGAGAGAAAAACCTTAAGCAATATGAACTAGGGCTACGATGCAATTCCTCCCTAAGCTTTAAGTCCAAGATACCATCCACCTATTCTGCTGTTAACTCTATTACTTTTCCTCCAGTCTCTTCCTGTGACCAAACTCACATTTAACTGTACCCTAGAAAGATCACTTAACCCAGAGGCAGCATGTTATTTTGGAGAAAGAGCTCTTACTTACCAGCACGTTTTTCAGTTTGATATCACGGTGGACAAGTCCCTGGCTATGGAGGAAACGGATTCCTTCTACCACATCTAGTGCTATCTGCAAGCGTGTCTCCAGGGTCAGCCCGGCCTTGGGGAAACAAAAGAGCCTGTATGTCACTCACACGACAGGTCATCAAATCTAACCTGCTTACACCAACTAAAAGTTCCTTCTGTGGGGTCTAAAAGACTGACTGTACTAGGGTACACAAGGATAGAAAAGTGGATGGAAAAAAGAAAAGAGGAAAGCAGTTAGGACAGGGAAGTAGAGAAAAAGCAAGGAAAGGCAAGCTCTCCAGGTCAGATAAAATCCTTTGGAGGCTGCTTTTAAACCAGCTGAAAAACCCCCAAATGTGACTAGAAGAGGTGCAACCAATTGAGTAAATGCATGAGCTCATTCTAACCCCTAAACCAACTCTGAAACTGCCCTTAAGGCTCAAAGGATCATTTCTGGGTACTTCAGGCAGATTTACATCCACTGGTTTGTAGGCCTACTTAGGCTAAGTTGGGTTTTATTTATTCAAATACCACGTTCATTCATCTTACTTCTACCAAGCCTCAGACATACTCTAGCCCACTTGTGGAGAAGCATCAAACAGTGCTGAGCTCAATTCCTCTGGAAAGAAGGAAAATCACTTGGAGAGTCATTTTCTTTATCATGTTGATTTCTTATGGCTCCTGAAAGCATTTCTAAGGCTTTCAAATAAACTAGTACACGAGAAATCTGTGAAAAGGGACCTGCCCAGACATTCTGGGGTTAGCGTTTCCCCCCTTCTACTTGGCTCCAGTGAACAGACAAAAGAAACTTCTCTACTTCCTTTTTGGTGGTTATTTTAGATGAGGGAAATGCAGCATTCAACTGAGGGTATTTCACTTTCACTTGAATAAAATCTTTTGATAGCTTCTCATTGTCTTATAACAGAATTTGAATTTTATGGAAACTCTTAAAATTTTCATTCCTCTCTAATTTGCTCCCAACATTTCTTGGCATGTTATCCGCCCGCCCCCCCCACCCCCATTCCCAAAATGAACCAGCTGCTCCAACGGTGACAAGTGTCCCTAATGGCCTTCCAATGCTCTTGGCATTATGCTATTTCCTCCCGTGGTATAGCCTCTTCTTTCCAACTGCCCAAATTTTAGCCATCAATGTGTACTTATCAAACTCAAAACACCCCACCTTCATGGAATATTCACTGACTATAATTCTCTTTAAAGCTCCTGGCAATTATAGTTTTTGACATCCCTCTATGTTCCTTAATACAGGGCCTTGTACAAAGTAGTCACATGTAATAAATATACACATTGACTAAAAACAAAAACTGGCTTTATACATTGACAGCAAAAAAAAAAAAAAGAGAGAGAGAGAGAACAGCAGGGTTACAGGAAGCTTTTCTGCGCTTCTGAGCAGTCTAGATTTTTCCTACCACCACAGGAGGTAAAATGATAAGTTACAGTATTCTGGATATGAACTACATCAAAAAATTAAATTCTGAAAAAATTTAAGACTTTTTTGGAAATAAGGGTATTGAAGTTGGATTGCTCCAATAATGTCTTATAAAAGCTAGAAGCTCTGAATGAACAAGAAAGGATGCAAGGCCTGACAGGAATGTGCTGATCTGGGCGCCAGCTGGCTCTGACTCTCTCCCGGCCTCGCCTCACCTTCAGCCCAGTGTAGAGGTCCCGGTGGAGCCGCTCCATGATGAGCAGCACAGCAATGCTGGAGCCGCCACCGTAGTTGTAGTCGATGACAGACCCGTGGAGGTCCACCAATCGTTCATGCTTCGGCAGAGACCTGATGAGGAGGAGAGAGGTCTGGGCCATAGTGCAGGCCACCACGTGCAAAGGAATCACCTTGAGACCATGCTTAGTCCAGACGCACAGGTAACTGCCCTCAGTACAGAAAGGGGGCAAAGAGAATGGGTTCTCAAACAAGAACAAATAATTATGGAATCTAAAAATTGATAGGCATTTATACTAAGGAAGAAAGTCAAATGAAAGAATGAGTGAGAAATCAGGATGTTGAGAAGGTGCAGGCAGAGACAGTAAACGCCTTGAAGAGAACAGTTCTAGGCCAGACACAGAAATACTGGGTCTACAACATTTTGAGACCTCGGTGTGGAAGGACAAGGCATGCTGGAGCTCTTGTTACAACATTTATGCTAGGCTTCTGGCTTCTTCTCTGGGTCTTTTTCCACAAAGGTGAATGAGACCCTACCCACCTCATGTAGTGAAACTCCAAGGCCAGGTCATTCCAGTGCTTCTCATCTGGAGGAACCACCGACTTGAGGGCACAAGGGAAGTGTCCTCCCCAGTTGTCACACAGGTACACCACACCATACTGGCCCCGGCCCAGCTCCTGTCCCAGTTTAGGTTTACCTACAAGTACAGAGACAGAGGTAAGGCAAGGAAGAAGGGGAACTTGCTGGGCAACCTCCCTAAGATTCTTAGCTGTGGACCTGCCTAGAGACAGGAAGTCATAATTACGTAGGGGTGGGGGGTTGGGGGTGGATTCTGATGTCATTCTAAACCAGCATAAAGTAACCTAACTGGTTTGATTTAAATCAACTTTGGTTATGTTATTTGAACTATATAAATAGCAGAGCCACACACACTTCAGGAAATCAAAAACATATCAGGAAGTACTACATAGACTCTGAAGGGAGCAGCTTTGTGCACTGGGACCCTCCCAAGCGGAACAGGAGAACCTTCCTCCAATTTACTTGTGAGAAAGCAAGGACTCACGATGCAGCAAGACATCCTGTAAAGAACGGCTCTCCAGAGAAAGCCGGGCCAGGCGGGGGGCGTGATCTTTCCGAACCCTCAGCCATAGATCCTCAGTTTTCTCCAACCGGCCTGAGTGCCCAGCTTCCAGCTGGGAGGGCACAGAAAAGAAGACATGACCTGTTAAGTTCCTAGCTATGGCTTCCTCCCCTGTTATCTAGGAATAACAATATCTGCTTCATAAAGATGACTGTGAACATTAAATAAGATGTATGTAACCTATTCAGTTCAGAGATTAGTCACAATGAGCTCTCAACAAGTAATAATTTTTCCTCCTGTATGCATACCATATCTATACCAACGTGTACACACACACACACACACACACACCCCAAAAAAGGACAAGCAGATGTCATATAACTGCAAACTAGTATGGAAGTTGGAAAGTGATCTCTTTCCGTCAATCATTCCTAAAATACTACATAAAATTCCTGCCCCTTGATTTTTTTCTTACTCAATGAAATGGGGAGAAATTAACTAAAAAATAACAAGAAAAATTTATTGATGAAATTTTCTGTGACATGATATTATCTTTTAATGGAACAGAAAATATACTACTGATTTTTAAAACATTAAGTGGAGAGCAGAGTAAAACATAACCCAGTGGATGAGGTTTTTCTCTGCTTGATCCAGCCGTATCTCCTTTCCTACATACCCACCTGTCTCAAAGAGGCTGCAAAAGCCTCATGCGAACTATTGAGCCGGGTCCGGAATTGGCTGCAAATGCTTTTGGCCAGCTTGGAGGCACTGAGGCTCTCAATGGCTTCCTGGGCCACCTTCCTCTTCCACTCTAGTGTGATGGCTGGTGGGCTCACCCATGTGATGCGCTGGATGATCTGCCAGAACAGGAACATTGAGAACACTTGAGAGATGGGAGACAAAAACCACTAGAAAGTGCCAATGCTCTTTCCTCTCTGGGTTATCCATTCTTAAGACAGGAGCCATATGAAGTCTAAGACTCCTCTCCAATTCCATCTACCTCAGGATCAGGGCTTGGCCCAAAGGAAAGCATTAAAGAATATTAGGCTTAGTCTATGTGCTCACAGACTCTCAATACACTATATCCAGTGCCAGGGTGTGCCAGACAAATCCCTTTGTGAGATTAGTAAATAACTCCACATATTAGTAAATATTCTTTAAGCATTAAAGAATATTAGGCTTAGTCTACGTGCTCACAGACTCTCAATACACTATATCCAGTGCCAGGGTGTGCCAGACAAATCCCTTTGTGAGATTAGTAAAAAAAGAGGCAGATCAAATTCCAGAAATGGAACCACACTCATAGCCTCTGGCAACAAAGCCTGGTTCTGAGAAAAAATTTAGGTCGGGACAAAAAAATATGAAGAAGCTAGTGAGGCAGTCTTACGGCTCCATAAAATAGCATTTAAGCACACCACTTTCAGGAGTTAAGGGTGGCAATATTAACAATTACGTCAGAATAAGCATGAACCAGAATTCTCCAAGGAAGAAAAACAAGGACACCTGGCCACCTCACACTAATAGAAGATACTATGAGAGTGGCTAACATTCATTTGAGCCAACTAAGGACTGAAAATTTTTTTCTCTAAGCAGTGTCTACCTGTTTGATTTGTTCCCACAGCATCCTTGTAACTGAGGACCCCGAGTGAAATGTGACTTCGACATGATAGGCTGCATTTAAGATCTGAAAGAGTACACACAAAAGAAAGTCAGTATGCCCTGAGTGGCTTTTTAAAAAATGCAATAAATGATATTTACTTCAAGAACATAGTCTGGTCTCAAGGTTCTCAAATCCATCCCTCAATATACGTGCAGAGTCAATGCAAGTTGACCATCTCTTCTGTGACTACTTGGGCCCCTTTTCTTCACTTTCTTCTTGCTCTCACCGCCTTAACTGCACTTGTACAGTGCGCAAGCACCTCCTATAGGTAATGCTCGTATGAGAGGAAAACAAAACGAAATTCTAAGTGGATCAGCAAAAAGTTGAAAGGGAAATTGTTGGCTGACTTGAAGTTGGGCTTTTGTGTGGATTCTGTTTCATGTGTTGTCTATGACATGGTGCCTTAAACTCTCTGAGTACCTGTTTGAGATTATTACTGGTGATGTGAACTGAGACATCCTGAGACTTCTCCAGGCTCTGCAGACACCGTTCGAGCGTTCCGACAAAACTCTCACGTAGGTAATCCACTGAGCTGATCAGCTTATTAGCAACCGCTTGATTCAGCCGGGAGATGATGAGTTCCTGGATCTGTCGAATGCAGCATTTGATCTCTCTGGTGCCTACTGGTTCCCCATTCTCAGGGACAATGATGCCTATGGGAACAAAGAAATAAGTTAGTTGGCTGTGAGGAGAAGGGGCAGACACACTGAATAAAAGCATCTCCCAAGCCAAGGAGCTATCACAACAGCTACAAAACACATGGTTGGCTCATTAACTCTGACCCTCACGATGATCAGGGGCCATGGAACCCTCAACTACTTAGGGGAGTTAAGAATCCTAAGAAGGAGAAATTATGTCTAGAATAAGCCTATTGTTTTTCTAGTTTTTTGGGTCATATTTATAAGAGGGGAGGAACATTTATTGAGCAGACTCTTTGAAAGCACTACAGTAAGTATTTTATACATGTAGTCTAATTTTATCCTCACAATAGTTTTGTCAAGTGGGTATTACTGTTTATAGTTTATTGATCAGGAAACAGCCTCAAAGGGAGGACACAGTAGGCCACTGGGAAGGGATGGTACAGTCAGGAAGTATTTGAACCCAAAGCTCATGAATTTCAAAGCCTTTGATCTTTGTAGTTTTTGATACCACCTAGCATACTGGGAAAAATCCCAGAGTCAGGAATTCAATTCTAATCAATTACAAGATAAATAAAAAGTAAAACTGGAACATTGATTGTCCCCTCCATGCCACTACCTCTTCTCAGGATTAGAAACCCTGTTTTGCAAGCCAGAGGACAGAAGTTAACAGAAGATAAATTATCTGCAAAAACTGCACTCCTAAAAAGGCACTCTTGTGCTTACTGATAGAAATTCAGTATCATCTCTTTGGAGGAAATCTGTCAATATCTATCAAAATTCTGAGCTAAACAACAACAACAACAACTACTACTATATAACCTTTGACCTAACTACTTTGCTTCTAGAAATTATTTTTCTAGAAATATACCCTTACAAGTCCCAAAGATAGAGATGTATAATGATGATCAATGCAGTGCAGTTTGTAATAGCAAGAAAATAAATAACTAAAAGAAATAAAGAAAGAAATAGCCTAAATGTTCATCAGTAGGGGAGCAGCTACATATATTCAGGTATAGCCATTATAGGAAGACAAATTTGTATGCACACTTATGAAAAGATCTCTAAGATATGAATTAAGTGAAAATGCAAAGGGCAGTAGATGTGGAGGAAAACCGGATGCCTGGGGGATAATATCTTCATACTTTTGAGTTAAGTACCATGTACCATTTAAGAGAAATCTGGCTCCGCAGAATATGTGGTAGATCTCTTCTAAATCTATTTCTCATTGCCTCAAAAATACCCGAAAAAGACACAGAACAAGGTAAGAAGCAGATATGTAAGTTGTGTCTAATATATAGCCAATCAGGTAAGTAGATCCACAAAACACAATGTAGTTAACAGGGCCAGATATGTGATCTACTTGTTCCCAGTTACTCCCACATATATTAAACTAACATTATACCAAACATGGTGTGCCTGGCACATGATGGACAATCAACATTTCATTGTCTGCCCAACCCAGCTGCCCTGTGTATAAGTCTTATGATGTCAGTGCTGCCACTCCAGTGTCTTTAATTATTCAGAAGGCTTCCTAGGATTTCCACCACAACTGAGCATCTCTCAGCAACTCCTCCATACTGTAAGAATTCTACAAAGACGTAATTTTGTTAATCTTTACAAAAACCAGTAAGAAATGAGGCCTCCTATGCTTGCTAAAGCCAACCATATTTCCTTTGTATCCGTAAGTTTAACAGCCTATGTCAATTAACACCACTGTCATACTCATTCATTCTCCAAGAGATACTGTAGCAGACTGTTATTTGCTGCAAGGGATATAATAAGGCCCAGATCCTATTCTCCTTCATCTTTAGGATTTTAGAAAACAGAGGAATGTAATTGTTAATAACTATAGTAAAAGGTCAAAAGTGAAATATGTCAGACATTTCAATTACAAATGAAATGCTTTGGAAGTTAGGATGAATGCAATGGTTATTATCTAAGAACATTAAAGACAACTTTATGAAAAATGTTACTTGAAAGATGCCTTGAAGAGTAGGCAGCATTCACAGACGATAAAAGACATTTCAGGTTTAGGGTACAGCATGAGCAAAGAAAAAGTAAAAGGAGCATATAGAAGAAAGCAAACAGTTGAGAGCAAGGGAAACAGAAATTACATGAAGGTGCATAGTAGGAAATAAGACTGGAAAAGTTGGTAAGGGCTACACTTTGGAAAAATCTTTAATACTAGGTGAAGAAGTCTAAACTTAGTCTGTAGGAACAGGAAGCCAATAAAGATGAACTGGAGAAAGGAAAAAAGATGTTTGTGAGCTCAATCAGGTAACAATAGTTCAGTTAGACTAAAGAAGAGGGAATAGAAAAGCAAAGGCAGATATAAAATATGAAGAGGACTCATCAGGACCTGGCAAACAAATGGATGTGGGCATAAGAGAAAGAAAACAGTTAAAAGACAGTGCTGAGGTTTTGAAGCTGGTTACAAGGCAGACAGTGGCATCACGTAGCTGGGAACAGATTAAGAAGCGGTGAAGCATGGGAAAAAAAAAAAAAGAGTATGGGCTCAGGAATCAGACTACATTGATTCAAATTCTGCCTCTTCTATTTTGGAGTTGTGTGACCTTGAGCAAATCACTTAACCTGTCTAAGCCTCAGTTCCCTCATCTAGAAAATGGCAATAAGTATAATTCACCTAGGGAGGTGGTTTTTGAAAAAACAAACAAAAAAAAACAAATAAAAAACCTGATGCTGGGTCCCAGGACAAAAATTCTGAGGAAATAGGAGTCTCAAGCATCTATGTTTTCAAAAACCCTCCCAGGTGATTTGGATATACAGCCATGATTGAGAACCTAAAGCATAACTTGCAAACCATATCATTCTAATGGGTAGTAGAGTGATTACTAGAGTTAATGTTTGCTCAGGGGAGTTTGTAAAGTTGTCAGTATACAAAGTCAGCAGCATCTAGAACTTCAGATACCAAAAGACCTGACTAACCCCTGTGGTCCAATTTTGTTAGTAGCCATTTTAAGAATGGGACCACCAGAAAACCTAAAAACGCTACTTTGGGAAATCCTCCTAAGTCAGGCTTCAAAAGCAGCCTGAAAAGAAAATGGAGACTCACACACAAAAAGAACCAATAAAGAATGAGCTGTGCCAAAGGAGTCAAGGTTAAAGAATGACTTAGTTTTCATGCAGTTCTTTTCCAGCTCCAGGAAGGTCAAGGGGATCCCGATATACACTGGAGATTTAAAAGCACTTTTAGGATGCATTTATCAGCAGTTGGGCTGACAGTCCCAGGAAGGAATGACAGCGGTATCTTCCAGGTAGGTCTCTGAGAACAAGAGGCCACCTTGGCTAAATGATTTCCAGGAGGTGCCTGCTGATGACAGTGGCGTAGATGAGAGAACCCTGAGGTTTCTCCATTTGCAATTGGAAAGGGAAGAGGCTCCTGTAGTCCCAGCAACCCACCAAGTTTTCTGGGACCTACCTTTAAACTCCATATTGGCGGCATCATCCAGAAGCTCCTCCTTCATGGTGTTAAGAGTCTCAACAATCATGTCCTTCATTTCCTCCTGCTTTCGGTTGGCAATGTTCATCAAAGATTCATATAACTCATTCTCCATTTTTCGCGTATATTCCAGACGTTTGGGAGTAATCTGCAGGTCCCGCTGCATGTCAAAGGCCTGGTTAATAAAGATGTCAAGGCAGCAGCAGTGCACCAGGTTCAGAGCCTTGGCTGCATCCACCAAGCGAGCCTGTAGCACCTGGTGAGAAAATGTGCTCAAGTGTCTCAGCTTCTCGCTTTGTTCCACCAACATGCTTTGAGCTTTAGTGTCCTGGCCAGGAGCCCCACAGTTGCAGTGACTGATGCTCAGATAGCCCAGGTCGATTAGCTGGCGATGAAGCGGTGATCTCTCATTCTCCATTCTTTTGGTGGAGGAGTCAATTATCTCTGAGCCCAGCTTCGGTACTTTGAAAAAGAATATGGGAAAAGAGAAATACTTTCGGATTTCCTGAAGCTCCTGCTCATCCCTCTCGGACAGTTCATCTTTGTGGAGTGCATAGGTTATCACAGGCAAGAAATCGTTCACCAAGTCACCCAGAACATCCACTGTGGGCCGGAGGCTTCGGCAGGGCGCTACCACAATGTCCACATCCTGGAAGGGTAACGAGGTCATATCAGCACTTCAGAGTCAACCAATCCTTGCCTCCCCAAAGTCCCACACTGAGACCAAAATGCAGATCTATAATGGGGCAATGGGACTTTGGTATGCCCCAGTCATCTGTCCACCTCCTCCATCAGTTACCAATACTTATCTAGAGAGAGTGAAAAAACAAGTAAGTAGGAAGGATGGCAGTCCCTTTAGCCATTTCATATGAAAAGAATACTTTTTAGTCCCTTCCTTTGTTGCTTGGAAACTCTCATGATTCTCTTTGATGAAGAAATAAGACAAATAATGGAAGAAAGAACTATTATGGAAGTTATCAGACTGAGAGTGAGTCTGCCTGGAACATTCCTCCCCACCCCCCACCCCCCGCACTCCTCGCATGCCCCCATCCCCACATTTCTAACTTGGCCAACTCCCAAGTATCCTTTAAATCTTGATGCATATGTCATGCCATACCCTTACAGAGGCTTTCCTATGACATAACCCCAAAGCATTTTTCTCTACCTCTCCTTTTCTTACTGTTTAACACATCTATAATTTATTTATTTAAAACACATTTTCCCCCATTAGCCAGTAAACTCTGTGAGGGCAGCGATTATGTCTATCTCATTCATGAGTTTAACTCCAGTGTCCACCACACAGTGAGTCTTCAATATTGTTGAGGCGATCAAGCTACAACAAACTAAAACCAGGTTTGCCAAACATTACTACTGTCCTATTGTAAGAGTCTGTAGGGATCCCAAAGTCTTAGCCATTTAAGTCTTGGAAATACCTTTATTCTTATGATCACTTGATATAGCAGAGACTCAAGCTTGTCTATCCAATACTCAGCCTCTGCGTTATTTGGGAAGGCAATGTCCTCCTCAGACAGGGTATCCAATTAAGTACCTGCGTCTTCCAGGAAAGCTCTTTAGAGATTTGATTCTACCAGGAAGTATGCCTTTGGCCTTGCGCTTCTTGCCTGGAGCACAGATGTGATATCTAGAGCAGAAGTGGTCACACAGCAGCTATAAGGCAAACCTCAGTGTGGAAGCCAGAGTTCAAGGATCATGAAACAAGAAGAAACCAGGCACCTGGAAACCTCATGACTACGAAGCTGCCACACAAGCCCTAAACTGCCTAGCTCCAGACTTGTTTTCTGTGAAGAAAAAAAAATTACCCTGTGTCTTATTTCAACACGCCCCTGCTTTTCTGACTGTCTTTTACCAAGTTCCTAAAGTAAGTTTCAAGAATGACCTTTAGTTTAGAAACAAACCTGCTACAGGTCCTTTTCCTAGCCAACACTTTCTGCTTTGTATTTTACCTCTTTCCTGAGGACCTTGACGCACTTCGGAACATATTTTTCCATCCACCACATGCTGCTCCTCTCTATCTCTGAAATTGGCCACTGTGCCTGGCATTCCAAACCTAAGGGTTGACCTGGAGACTCACGCCTGTCTCACCTTTGGAGCCCCACCAACTCCCGATGTCTTCAGGGGTCTACAAACTCACAAATCAATCCTCCAGTGCATTCTAGAACATTCTAGCACATTGAGTTATAAAAGAACTCAACCCAAATCTGCCCAAGTTTGTGTCCTTAACAGTTATCAGATGTTGAAATCTTACTCTATTTGAAATCTAAAAAATACACAATTTGTTTAGTTTCTTTCAGATTAATATTCTGTTTTTGTTCCTTACTTTATTTGAGCAACAAGTATTTCTGAAGGAAGATTTTTTAAAAATCAAAACCTAGGACCTCTTGCTTTTTTTGATCTCCTTCTCTAGATAAGTAAGAAAGAACTAAGAAATGCCAGCCTATTGTTTCACATAGTGTGTGTGTGTGTGTGTGTGTGTGTGTGTGTGAGAGAGAGAGAGAGAGAGAGAGAGAGAGAGAGAGATTTCCCATTCCCAGCAAAGCACAAAGGTGTCACCTTCCCCAACAAAGCACTAGCAAGTCTTATTCTAAGGTAGGTCACATAAATGTCATTTGGCTGGCCACTTACAACTCGCTAAAGCTAAAAGTACTTTTAGTATCTCACCATTTATACTTGAGCAAACACCACATAAATCCACCTATTTTCTATCCAAGCCTAGGCCAAGAAGAAATCTGCTGCTTCATCTGTGCCTTGAATTGTATGAAATGTTTTCTGATTGGAAGATTAATCCAACACTCACCATGCTGTTCAAAGCAAACCCACTTTCACTACCCTGAGTATGGGAACTGAGTCACCCTGCTAGAGTATGAATCACTTCATGAGACATATTCAAAAAGTGGGTAAGAACTGCTAATGTGTAAAAGAGAACATACAACTACCTAAATGTCAACATAATAATTTCATATAACTAGAAAAAGACTAGAAGAAAATCCCAAGACATAAAAATATAATATGGTAAAGAATTATAAATGAAAATGTTCTAAAAAATATTTATTTTAAAATTGCAAAGCTGTCTTAAATATATACATTTTGAAAGATATAAGTTGCTCTGACTGGTTTGGCTAGGTTGGCTGGGCGTAGTGCCTTGAAGCAAAAGGTTACCAGTTTGATTCCTAGTTAGGGTACATGCCTGGGTTGCAGGCCACGTGCCAGGTTGAGAGTGTTTGAGAGGCAGCCAATCAGGGTTTGTCTCCCTCTCTTTCTCCCTCCCTTCCTCTCTCTCTAAATATAAATAAATAAAATCTTTTTAAAAAAATAAATAATATAGGTCAATAGAACTTATTACAGGAGTATCAGGAGTATTATGGACAGAAAGCGTAACTATTCAAAACCAAATTAAGTGTTGTTTAGAAAATTTTCAGGAAGAATTTTTGTTTGCTGTTTATTCGATGGATTTTCTTAAAATTTTAAAATAAATTTTCAGGTTTTCCTCAAAGGACCATTTTGTGTGTGTAATAGAACCATTGGCCAAAGCTGCCAAGTCCATTTGTAGACTCAATAGCCTTTTCTAAGACACAGCTGACTTTATTTGCTCAGATATGCAAATTCATTTGTTTTAAATGGATTCAAGGTTTTGTAATGGTAGGTACTGCCTGCCATACTGGCACCCAGAAAGAACTTGTCTATTCCTCCATATATCTTGTACTAAACAAAAATGGATAGGAAACAAGTACCATGTCCTTCCCCATTCCTCAGTTAATGAACTTGTACAGTTGGTCTCCCTGTTCTATCATAACTTCTAAAGGACAGGAGAAAAGAGCTGCTGGCTGAGCCCCTGGCAGCATTACAAATTAGACTGGAAAGTGATATGAGATTCTGCAATACTTACGGTGAAGGGATGACTCATGCCTCACAGTTATAAACAAAAAGGAAGCCAGCACTGTCTCCTGGAGACAGGGAATAAAAAAATAATTGCTAGAGGATGAGCCAGACCTGTTCTGGGCCCTACGATAACCACCTGCGAGGGAAGTCTGACCTCAGACTGCCTGTAACATGGAAGGCTGTATTCCTTCCCAGCACCTAGAGCAGTGCCTGGCACTTGGTAAGCATTCCATAATAAATGTGAAAGGAATGCATAAATAAATGATGCCTTTACTACTTGCTCAAAACCACTTTCAATAACCATGAGTAGCCCTGGCCAGATAGGGCAGTTGGTTAGATATGCCGACATTGTGGGTTCTATCTCTGCTGAGGGCACGTACGAGAAGGAACCAATGAATGAATAAAATAAGTGAAACAACAAATTGATGTCTCTCTCCCTCTCCCTTCATTTCTCTAAAATCAATCAATAAATTTTTTTTTCAATTAACCATGAGTAAAATTTTCTTTCAACCCGTATCCCACACATTTATCTGGAATTGCTGTTTGCTTCTACTCCAAGAATGAAGCAGTGAGTAAGCATTCTGCTTCTAACTCAATCAAGGAGCAAGACTCTCAGGGAAGCATGAGAGTATCCCATAATTCCATTTTAAGTCACAGTAGATTCCTACAGAGATTTCTTTTGTAGGGTGCATTCTGTACAAATCTATGGAATCTACAGAAGTTGATGTTACCGTCAATTCTCTTGGCCAAGATTGAGAGGCAATAGAAAGGAGATTGCTACTCTGCAGACACCAGAATTCACCTCTTTGGTTTTGTTTTTGATGTAAATGACACTGTATTAAATGCCAAGAAGAAATCACTCAATTGCTGAAGAAGCCTGACCACATCCTAAGAATACTGGCTCTCATTGATGACCACTCCTTACTCCACACTCATGGAACATGACTGTCGCTCAGTATTAGCGAAGAATGATTGCACTGATTGCTGGTTCACACAGAAGACAGCTATGTACTCAGGTAGGTCACAGCTGTCTTTGTTTTCTCTGCAGTCCTGAAACCTCAGGTTTATATCACACAAAAGAAAAGTACACAACTATATAATTGTCCTGCCTTGCTCCCCAGTGGATACAGCCTCAACCTCATCCCTGCCCCAAATTCTCCCTATTTTTACTGTCAGTTCTCCCTTGCAGTTCTCCCAGGGCGGCTGAAAGGTTTTTCCTGTTTGTTTTTACACAGTTAATTCTTCATTTTTATATAGCTCCTTGAACTCACTATCACTCTCAAATGTTATTTACATACTAAGGAAAATATCTCTTTACCCTTATTACATTGTAGAAAATACCTTGACTCTTGTTGGTACAAACACTCTCAAGGGGAGCTGCCACTCCAGGGCTATGACATGCCTGTCTTTTAAGCACCTGGGACTAGTCTGAAGCCAACCCAGAGCTTATGCAGCAGTCAGCATGGAATGGATACAAGCTCATCTCCCCACCTAGTAAAATTATCAGTGTGGTAACTCAGGTGGCAGAAACAACACTTGGGAAAAAACACGATTCCAACCAAATCCCTAAACTAGCCACAGAAAGCATCATACTAAAGGTGGGAATATATCTACAATCCCAAACACCCCAAAACAGGGGTTCTGCATCTCAACTGATAAGCATGAAGCCCTTAAGGATCAGAACTACCTTCTCTGTATTTCACACTTGGATGAATCAGGTAACAGACAAGTTAATAAAAATGTACTGAATAG